TCGTGGCATGGTTAGAACAATAAATTTTCTTTAGAATGTGTAGCGTGCAAAATGAAGTGAGTGGACTAGATGTGTTCCCTTTGTGCCTTAAAGTTTTGGTCCTGCTTGTGAAATTCTGATTCTTTCTACGAAACATCTGTTCTTAAAGTCCATTGCAACACCACGACAAAAAGGATCTCCCAGCACTGATCAAGCCCGTTTAAGATTCTGCAGAATTTTGATATAGCTTGATTATGTGTTATGCTTCAATGGAAATGTTTCTCTTCTGCCTGGACCTAAGGATGTTTTTCTCCAACTGCTGTCAATTATTTGAGTCAGTCATGTCATGCTGCAAATGATTGACCACATAGCCACTTAGCTAACATCATTCCCTCTTTTGCAGTTTTATAGACCTGCCGAACCTTTCTTCAGCTATATATAGTGCAGAACTGTGCAGTAGGTTGCGTGCTTTCCTTATTGCATGCCCTCCAACAGGTCCTTCACCTCCTGTAACAGAACTTGTGATAGCAACTGCAGATTTTCAGAGGGATCTTTCCAGCTGGAATATCAAGTACTGTTGTTTTTCCTACATATATCTCTTCTTTCAAATTATAGTGTTCAGACTGGATCACTAATGGCATTGTCTCTTTCTTAGACCTGTTAAAGGAGGAGTTGATGCAAAGGAGTTGTTTTCATTTGTACATTGTTCTGTGGATACAAGATAAACGCCTCTCTCTACTTGAATCATGCAAATTAGACAAGGTAAATATTTTTATGCAACTTTGTTGCATATAATCTGTGGCAGAGTTTCTCATAGGCCAATGGTATGTGCAGTTAAAACAATGTCCACAATGTCAAGTGCAATAATAATTCAAGTCCTTTAGTTTCATCTTTCATTCTTTGTGGGTGTGGAATTTGGGTTTTGCATTATGTATGTTGCGATTGCTGGTAGAACTTGTTCCTTTTATGCTTGGCATTTATGACTTTACCAAGTCATAGGTTTCTTTTATTAATTACTCATTGAGTGCTGATGAAAGCAAGTTAATGCAAATGTGCTGATGTTTTCTTGTAAATGAACTGGTTAAACCAGTTAAAATAAGTAAATGGCATCATATAGGAGTCTCTTACAGTTTTCATCGTTTTCCATATTTTGCCTGCTCTACCTTAGTGGTTGAAATAACTTAAATGATGTACAGGTCAAATGGTCTGGGGTTAGGACACAGCATTCAACAACCCCATTTATTGATGACATGTATGATCGCCTCAAAGAGACATTAAATGATTATGAGATCATCATTTGTCGCTGGCCAGAGTACACATTTGTGTTGGAGAATGTATGTGTTCACGAATTCATTGACCTTTTGCCTTTCAGTTTTGGTTGCTTGTACCTAGAGGTGGCAAATCAACCCACTTAACTAAATTTACCCATACCCGCCCGAATAGATGGGTATGGGTATCTTAAATTTTTTTATATGGGTATAAATGGATTACCCAATAATACCCATTTAATAAATGGTATTATTGGGTAACCCATCAAACCCAATTAACCCATTTAGAATTCTCTTCTCCCCAAGTCTCTCTTTTTCCCCCACCTTTTTTTTTCAAATTTTTTATTTGTTATGATGTTAACTACTTTTGTTTTATTATTATTATTATTATTATTTGTTGGTTTTATCTTATTATTTTATTTTATCTTAGTTTGTTAATTTCATTTTTTAGCATTACTAATTTATGATAAATTTTAGCCTATTTTCTTATCTTTATAAAATGAAATTTTAAATTATATATGAAAAAAATGTTAGGGGTTCAAAATTTTTGGATTAAGTTTTTATATTAATTTTTATAGTACTTAGTTCAAATTTTTATATTCTTATTATTCAATTATTAAATAATAGGTAATTTTGTGACATAGAGTATAAATGAACAAAAATTGGTAATTAAGTTTATTGAACATTATAAGTAAATATTTAAAACTAATAATGGTACAAAGAGTGGTATAAATTGATAATTTAGTTTGCAAAAATGAATTTAAATGAGTTTACAAAAAGTTAAAATAAATGGGTTATAAATAGGTAATTGGATTACCCCATTCATTTTTTGACTTACCCATTTATACCCATCTAATTAAATGGGTATAAATGAGTTGAGTCACTTATACCCATTACCCATTTTACCCAACCCAAACTCGCCCAAGTCACCCATTTTGACATATCTACTTGTACCATAGCTAAAATATATTGCACAGAATTATTTTCTGAAGAAAGAGCTGAAACATTTTTTTTTTTTTTTTGGGGAAAAGGCTGTTGCTGATGTTGAGAAGGCAATTGTCGATGCTCTTGAGAGCAATATGCCGATGTTTTGGCTCCATTAAAGGAAAACCTGGCACCTAAAAGATTTGGTCTCAAGTATGTGCAGAAGCTTGCCAGAAGAAATGTTTCTGCATACATGGTACTGATGAGGTGAGTAGACTTATCTTAATATCAAGTTGTTTAATCCCTGTCACTGTTTTGATCTGAAATTTTGTTTTCTCTTCTTCCAGCTTGGCATTCTTCTAAACTCAATGAAGAGAATGCTTGATGTTCTGCGTCCCAAGATAGAGCAGCAACTGAAGTCTTGGGGCTCATGCATCCCTGATGGTGGAAACACAGCCCCTGGAGAGCGTTTAAGTGAGGTGACTGTAATGCTTAGGTCGAAGTTCAGAAACTATGTGCAAGCAGTTGTTGAGAAACTAGTGGAAAATGTGAGTAACCTTGAGCTCTTCAGTTGAAAAATTCTCGGTAGGACATAGTGCACCTCCAATAACCCAAATCTTTTAAGAATAGCTTCTGAAAAATCTGTGAATACCATCACTAACTTATGTCATATTGTTGGTGATGTTGACTGAAAATTGCTATTGTATTGTAGACTTATTTTGATGGAGGGGAAGAAATTGTTCTTCTGTTGTAGATACCTTAAAAAAATTAAAATAAAAAATAAAATAAACATTTTTGAGAGTCTTGAACGTTATCATATTAACATGTATACAGGCTAGACTTTGAGCATTAGCAGAATAAATGCCTTGGATTCCTCAAAATACATGTAACTTAACATTAAATTTTTTATTTTTATTTATCTTTTTTTTCCTCAGACAAAGTTGCAGGGGAGTACAAAGCTCAAAAAGATTTTGCTGGATTCCAAGGGCACTGTGATAGAATCAGATGTCAGGAGCAGGATGCAACCTCTTAAGGACCTTCTGGCCAGCTCAATTAATCATATGCATTCCATCTTTGAGTCTCATGTTTTCATCGCATGTTGTCGAGGCTACTGGGATAAAATGGGACAGGTAAGCTAGAATATTTTACTGCTGTGTGAAGTTTGCACTGGTAGTGGCAAATTTCTTGTTTTCTTGTTTCTCAGGAATATATATATATATATATATATATATATATATATTTTTTTTTTTTTGTTTTTTTGGCTATAGGATATTTTAAGCTTCTTGGAGAGCAGGAAAGAGAATAGGGCATGGTACAAGGGATCTCGGATTGCTGTGTCAGTAAGTACACACGCATCCTTTGTACAATATTTATTGGTTATACAAGTTGCTTTAGAGGTTAAACCAGGACCCGTTTCCTGAACCCTAACCATGATTAGAAATTTGTCTTTTGGTGGATAGGTTTGTCTTCGTCTTACAGTATGTAGAGGGCAACTAATTGCAATCTCATTCCATTTTTTCTGATGTAAGTTTATCACATGGGGTGGGTATATGCAGGTTTTGGATGATATTTTTGCATCACAAATGCAGCAGCTTCTTGGGAATTCCCTACAAGACAAGGACTTGGAGAATCCTCGATCTATAGTTGAAGTGCGCTCAATGCTTTGTAGAGATGCTGCAAGTAATAAGGGGGCAACTCATTCTACTTCTAGAGGTAGCAAGGAAAGATGAGTTGCAAGGGCTGGAAAATGCTTCAAATGGCACAGAAGAGAGCCCTGACACTCGGGGATGAACTTTTTATCACTTTGAGCCTTTCATTAGACGAGCTACGCAAGTTGCCTGCTCAAGTAGGCAATCCTGCTCATCCAGATTCAGCGATATTCCTGAAGGATTACAGTTTAGGTATTTGCAGTTCAGTTGCAAATATAGAGTTGTTTAAAAGGATCTCCCAATCTTAAAGCTTTTGAGATGTGCTTACTGGCCATTTTGTTTTGTATACATATCGAACCTTCTGACTACGTACGTATATAACATATCATATTTAATGCAATTCAGGACACATGCAGATACATTGACAAATAGTGTACTTACAAGCATATGCAAATTGGCCTCTTGATATACTGCTGCTGATTGCAGGTACTTACTGTCCAAACTCGAATACTTGTTGCAGCTGATGTTTTACCTTCTCAACAAATTGTTTGTGCACACTTGAGAGCTCCAATTCATTCGTTTCTAACAATCGCCAACCCAGTTAACAAACGTCAACTAGACATTACCAAGATTGTTCCTCGTGGCTCAAAAGATAAGAAAGAGTTGCTCTTGATTGGCATTTCTTCGCTTTTCCTGTTTTGCAACCTACACAACCCATCTCTCTTGTACCGTTTAGCTATGTAATTTGGCAACAGAAAAACCGCCTAGCACGTAATTTTGCTAGAGTACAAGAGCCTTGGCTTTCCATGTTGGTAGCAATTCTGGCGGGCTGTATTCACTTTGCCTGGTACGATCTTCGGGCCTCGTTTGCCCTAGCCACAAGGAAGCTGTCCTCGATTTATTAGTTTTTTTTCTTTGTTTGCAGCAGATAGATGGCTTTTCAGATCTGAAGAACCATGTCAGAACACAAATTTTCATAATAAAAGCACAAGTTCAGGTAAAATTCCGCGTCCTGCTGCCAGCAGGAGGAAAATGCTTTTCATTTCATTTTCTTTACCATAGAATTAGTTAGTTGATCCCTTTTTTTTTCCGGTGTCCCGAGGAAGTTAAACTGGACAGGAATGCAAAAGGGCGCTTGTTTCTCAAATGCCACTTGTGTTTGCAACTTTGCAAGAGAGTACTTGAAAATGCTTTCGGTTCATTTTACCACTGTAGCATTAAACAGGTTGCTTGTTTTTCACATAGCAGTCAGCGGCCAAGCAATCACTATAGACTAGATGATTGGTTCGACCCGTGGAAGACGACAAGTATTCATTGAAAGAATATTTACAGGGTTAAACAACATTGGAGCTATCAATTGCAACACACACACACACAATGAATGGCATTTATGTTACACATTTCTAAAGAATAGGGAAGCACTTTTGGCAGCACAAGCACACGATTGATTCCCGCAAAGTGTGCCACACTGCTCAGAAGAGCTTTGATATTACACGGCAGGAAGTCCAGAATGCTGCTGAGGCAGCCTTCAGAATCGCTGGGTTTTGGTATATGCTGGCGAATAACAAACACAACGACAATAACATCAGAATTGAGGCAGTGACAGAGACAAACCAAACAGTATTAAGCAAAAAAATACCAATTGCTTACCCAATGGCTGTAGCTCCCCAGGATGCCACATTGTAGATAACTTTGCTCCCATCCCAAGCCTTCCGAAGTTTTCCTTTTTTCTTTTTTACAGAAAATGTCTTGCAAAGGGCTGAAACAAAATGCTCAAAGATTTTATCACCTATACTAGCATAGCATCTAAGCAACTACTGGAACTCAAAGACACAAGTGAACCGTCATATTCTGCAGTTCTCAAGAGAGTAGTCTTGCTTTCATCCAAGATTAAAGGAAAAAGATGACACACGGAGCAGCTTACCATCCTGAAGTTGGTTTGGAGTCAACTCCTGCAAGTACAAACACAAGACATTACTATGGGGACGAGATGGGAAAAAAATATTCTTTTCCTTTTTGGGGAACCGCATGCAGCTTGGGCTTCTTTCTTTCTTCTACTCCTTCACCACCTTGTACTTTTTCTTTAGCTTTGGAGAGAACCCACAGGGGGGGTTGTGTGTTGGGGCAGAGAAATGGATAAATGAATTAAGATAGCACACAATGCACTATTCAAGCACCTAAACCTTCTTTGCCTCAAATGTGTACCTCATTGTCCATTCACAGTTCACACAGCAGGAAAAGGACTAAATGCAGAAACAAAATTTCCTTAATCGAAAATAAAATGCTACATTCTGTTTCTGTGGTTACAAAAAGGAATGATGCAGCTTAGCCTCTTGAATGGACTGTTGCTTTATACTAATATTATAACCACTAAAAAGTGCATAACATAAACTTAAGACAATGCTCCTAGAACGTCAATCCTTATAGATTAGCAAAGCCAAACAGAAGACCCTAAAATACAAGCAACAAGTATATACTAATCAATGGTTGAATTTAGTGAATACCATCAATAATCACGAAATATGGAAAAATAATAATAAATCTTTAAGAAAAAAGAAGCAAATGAACGGACAAAAAATATACAAGGAAAACAAAACGGATCAAGATTTAAAGGCAACATTGAGACTTTATCTACCTTTGTCTGTTTAAGAGACAGCAAATATGCAGCCATGAAACATGCTATACCATCCACAATATCCTCTTGCCTAACCAAAACATAGTCTTCTTGATCTAACTCGGAATTTCCACCTTCCCACAGATCATTCTCATTGACCATGTCCACGAAGTACCTTCTTCTGCATCAAACAAATTAGACTTCACATCATTCCCATTTCATTGGCAAAATCTTTTGTTTTTGGGGAGGGAGGAGGGGGGAGAGAGTACAACAAAAATATCTACAGAGTGATAGTGCTGCTTAAGGTCTATGTAATTGACTTGAATTTTCAAATATGCACAGAAGTCCTTAAACAAAAAAAAAAAATTTGCCATCCTTGACAGCTTCTCAAGCGTCTAAGAAAACAAGAATATTGGCTAAATAGAAGCTTTTAAATGTAGAATAGCAGAATTTAAGTCCCGCATCTTGCCACTGCTCACCCAAAAAAAAGAAAAAACCAAAGGACAAGATACCTATATCTTGCCACTGCTCACCAAATACTATGTATCTATTTACAATGTTATGCATCCCAAAAAATTCACACACAAAAAGTCTTTGAAAACATACCAGCTATGTTTTGTGGAACTGATGCCTGCGCATTCTCAAGCTTTTCGAGGAAATCAGTACATTCAACTCTTGATTTGATAAGATCGCACCACTGCAAGTGAGAAAGAAATGACGACATCAATAACATCGCCATATAAAAATCATTACAATAAGCACAATCAGATGTGCCTTCAACATGTTTGCACTGTAGGATCTCAAAACTGTAAGATGTTCACAAGCATATTCATATTTGGCCTTCTCAGATAACCAAAACAAGCAGTAATTGGTACAACCATTCTAGCTACCCTTGCATAGACTTAATAGAATCGCCAGGAGTTCAACATATTCCAACTGACTTGTTTCCTTTTCTGGTTACCCACATTTCAATTGACCCTCCTCCAAAAGAATGTCTTTTGAGTTCCCTACTTGCACTCTATTATATCCTTAAGCTAAGCTAAGCTATCTCATTCTAAACATCGTCAATCACCATGTCTCCTAACTTCAGCTACTTCCCGTACTCTTCGAGATTTCCATCAAACTTCTAAAATTCAGTACTCTTCGAGGTCTCCATCAAACTTCTAAAATTCAGTACAATTAACATCACTTTTCAGACTGTGTTATTCCACTCCGCATACTCCAGCCTAGCATAATTTCACTCACTTAGCTCGGACTACACATACATACATACATGAAGAATTTCTGAAGTTCAAAATTCTCCAGCAAAATTTACATCTCTTCCCAGCTCAACAAAATTTAAACTTCAAAACCTTGTGACTTAACTCATTGACCTAATTCCGTTTGTCAGGAGATTTCACCTGAAAATCAACAAAATTCACAACTTTTTTTTTTGCGCTTCAAAACTACGGCTCTTTCCAGCTCAACGATCAGACAACTGGAGAGAATTCAGCTACGCAATCTATCATACGACTTCAATTCGACAAGATATTCCTAAAAAACCAGCTGAAAAAAAAAAAGCAACAAAATTACAACTTTGTCCTCAAAACTACCTCGGAGGTCTCTTTATCCCGGCTAGGAGAGGGCGACGAGCTTCCTCCGGCGGGCCCATCGTCATCGATTTCATAATGGTGACTAGCTGGTTCATCATGGTCGACATCATCATCGTCTTCTTCGTCGATACAACCGGCAGTGCTGAGCAATTGGAGAGCTCTTTGGCACTCTCGAGCACAGCTTCTAGGGTTTTCCTCTTGACCCGAACCCGATCCCGATCTGAATTCATCCTCTCTAATTGGAGGATCGCCTTTTCACCCGCCGCCGTCACCACCTGCTCCACTTCCATTCCCTCTAATTTAGAAAAGAATACCCAAAAAGGAAAGGAAAGGAAAGTAGATTGAGTAATTATAATAGTAAATCGTAGAAGTGCTTTTTTTTTTTTTTTTGCGGGTGTTTTTGAAGTGAAAATTAAGCGGAAAAAAGAAAAAACCTCCGTCAAGTTGAGTTGTGCTTTGTAATTTTGTCTCAGGAAATTGGTTGTTGATAGTGGTCCATCATGATGATATATGAGAGATTGGAGGGGGACGGGGAGGCCTCTGATGTTGAATGAATGATTAGTTTTGGATGGGTGGCGCGAGAGACGGCTGCGTTTCGTTTGGGTTTCGTAAAGGTACTGGAAACTTTCTTTTGCTTTTGTGTGATAAATGTGGATTAATTGGTCCCGTCCTGTCAGCTGGAAATAATTTTTTAAGAAAAACAAAAAGGGATCTTATTGACGACCTGATGTACCTTAAAAAAAAAAAAGATTTAATTGCATGTTTTGTTATTACAGTGAATTACTTATCACCTATTTTTTAAAATAAATCCTATCTAAAAAATTTAATGTTAATTAATTTAAATATTATATTTTTGTTAACAAATGCATCCAAATATATTAACATCTGAATTTATTAAATTTAAATACTGATATTAAATTTAAGTACTGAATTACACTGTCAAACAGAGCACTCTACCTTTTTTGGTGTAAATAATTAAGTGCATGCGTGTTGAAAATCCAATTTTACCGCATGTTTATAAATCAAAATCAAGTGCTTGCCACGTAATTTCTTGAAATTGTTTCCATGTTTATAAACTCGAATCCATCCAATTAACTTTTGCGATTTCTAGAGCAAATCTACTGTCACCTCATGCTTATCAATTCAACTAGAATACTAGTACTCGCTCCGAAACTTCTCTGTTTCAATCGTATAATTTTTAATTTCATGAACAACACTCTCATAATTTTCAATTGTTTAATAAGATTATCGTATATGTGATTGTGGATTTCCATGAGCAAAGTTATGGTATAGTTATTTTTTTCTATTAAATTTCCATAAGTTTTTTTTTTATTATTTCTCATAGTTTCCATCGTTATGTTATCGTTTGTATATGTGCATGTTTGTTTTTTTCTTTCTGCTGTTAAATTTTAAAAGTCATGCTACCTTTCACACAGTCGTGGTTCTATTAAAAAATTTTCTAAGTCGAAGGATTTTTTTTTGTTGTTTTAACGACAAAGTAAAAATCTTAAATTCAAAACATTTTACTTAGAATCGTTTGACATCTAACCCAAACTCTCCTCTCATTCTATTACTTACATCATGCTTGGCACTCAAGACTCGCGAAGACGGCTCTTTCAAAGTTAAAAGGTCAGTTCACGTCTTTGAAGAGCGTGGAATTTTAGCTGCATATTCTTTTACGCCTCCTGTTTCAGATTCTGGGTAAATTACCAGCTTTCTCCTTCAGCCGGAAGCGAAATGCTGGTTCTTTCAGCGTCGTTCAGCAGAATTTCCGGCTCATCTGATAATCCAAATTCCAAACTTTCCTTCGCACATAGCTCCACTTCCCGGAAGTCGTTTACACTTAAATGAACAAAGCCCTCATCTTTTTCACATCCAAGATTCTAAAAAGGTCTCATTTCATCAAATCTTCCCGCAAATTATTCTCATCCACACCAATTCAAATTCAAGCAGCCCACCCTCAAAACCTCACTCTCACAGCATGCATTACACTCTTCAATCCTGTGCAGATCAAAGCGACCTCGGAGGAGGCAAACAACTCCATGCCCATATGCTCATAACTGGTTTTTTTCACTCCTCCCCACTCTCCGCCACCAGCCTAATCAACATGTATTCGAAGTGCTCTATTTCCATATCAGATGCATTGTCTATTTTTCTGGCCTCGCCCCATTGCCAAAATGTGTATGCTTATAATGCTATTATTGCTGGATTCATTTCCCATGACTTGCCTAATAAAGTTCTTGAATTTTACTTTAACATGCGGATGGTTGGTTTAATTCCTGATAAGTTTACTTTCCCTTGTCTAATTAAGGCTTGTTGTCATGCCATGGATGTTGAAAAGATTCATGCTTTGGTTTTTAAACTTGGGTTGGAGTTTGATTTGTATGTAGGTAGCGCATTGGTGCATGGCTATTTGAGAGTTGGGTTGTTGTCGAGTGAGGCATTAAAGGTGTTTGATGAATTGCCTGAGAGAGATGACGTTGTAATTTGGAATGCCATGATTAATGGGTTTGCTCAGCTTGGGGAGATTGACAAGCATTGGGAATTTTTAGGAGGATGGTTGAGAACAGGGTTGTTCCGAATAGATTTAGTGTTACGGGGATTTTATCAGTTCTTGCTGTGGCTGGGGAGATTTATAACGGACGAGTGATACATGGATTCGTGATAAAAATGGGGTATGATTCAGGGGTTGCTGTGGCAAATGCATTGATTGATATGTACGGTAAGTGCAAGTTTGTCATGGATGCTTCCAAGGTTTTTGATTCCACACTGGAGAAGGATATATTTTCCTGGAACTCGATCATATGTGTTCATGGACAATGTGGTGAGCATGAAGAAACTTTGAGGCAGCTTGGAGAACATGCTGCACGCTGGTGTTCAGCCTGATTTGGTGACTGTTGCTAGTGTCTTCCTGCTTGCGCTCATCTCACAGCATTAATGCGTGTAGAGAGATTCATAGGTACGTGATTGTGTATGGACTAGGGGTGTTTATGGAGGGCATAATAATATCTACATCAACAGCTGTTATGGACATGTATGCAAATGTGGTAGTCTAAGGAGGCTCGCTTGTTTTTGATAAGATGAGCCATAGAGATGTTGCCTCATGGAACATTATGATTATGGGTTATGGATGCATGGATTTGGCAATGAGGCCTTAGATATGTTTCACATTATGTCTAAGACAGAATTAAAGCCTGATGAAGTCAGTACCTTTGTCGGGGTTTTGTCAGCTTGTAGCCATGCAGGTTTTGTGACTTGGGGCGTGAATATCTTGCAAGCATGCAGCCAAAGTATGGCGTTTTCCGACTATTGAACATTACGCTTGTGTGATTGATATGCTTGGTCGAGCTGGGCAGCTTGAGGAAGCTTATGAACTGCTATCGACAATGCCTTATGAGGCCAACCCTGTTGTATGGAGGGCATTTTTGGCTGCATCTCAGCTGCATGGTAATTCTGATCTGGCCGAGGTTGCTGCACATCAAATATTTGAACTTGAACCAGAGCATTGTGGAAGTTATGTTATGTTGTCGAACATTTATGGAGCATCAGGTAGATATGATGAGGTTTTTGTTTGAGGCATACTATGAGGCAACAAGATGTGAAGAAATCCAGGTTGCAGTTGGATTGAACTCAGTAATGGGGTCCATGTATTTGTTACACGTGATCAGAATCATCCAGAAGGAATTGAAATCTATGCTGGATTAGGTTCACTGACTGCTTGCTTATGTGAGAATGGCTATCGACCTAGTCTCTTAGAAGCCACTGTGTAAAAGTTTGAGTTTTTTTTCCTCCGGCTGGCCCAACAATATTGTTAGTTGATGGACTTTGAGTCCCAAACATCCTGAATGAGTTGTTTTGCATAAGATTGGAAATCATACGAAGGATGATGAATTTGGTCCTCTGCAACCAAAAAGGTGCTGGTTTTAACAGTTTTGATAGTTGGTTTGGAAAAGAAGTGTATGGGTTTGCTGCAACAGGATTGCATATGGATTTGTGTTGACTGCACACCACATGCGGATTTACATTTCCATGGTGAGAGCTCAAGCACACATTCTCAATCTGATTAATTGGTGTGTTTCGTAGATTTTGCTATCTCAATTGCTAAGAAATTTTGTTTTGGAGAGTTTATTTTCTTTTTTGTGGATTGTTTGTTTGTTGTTGAAAAATGCACATGTCACCTTTTCTCTTTGTTGGCAAAGTGGCTCAACATATGATTATTTTGATTGATGAATAGTATTTCTTCTTGATGTTTTTTGTATCTGGATCCTTGGGCTGCTCAGAAACTGTAAATCATGGATAATATCTATTAATCTAGTCCGTCCACCTGGGGATTGCCCCTGACCTAAGTTTATATTTAAACAGTATGATCAGAATATCAGCCTGTCAAAAAGAGATAAGTGATTTGGCTGAAAAAGGAACAATAAAACAGTCATTAGAATCTGTGGATGATTCAACTGAAAGCTTACTCTTTGCTGCTTATGGATTACCTTTAAGTGAGAGGTCTATCTTAATAGTATGATTTTTGCTGGATGGCATTGCTGATGTAGGACAGTTTTTCAGGAGGCAACCTTTTCCCCGTAAATAAACATAAGGTTTAAGGGGGGAGCATGCGAATAGATAAAATTTTTCTGACAATAAGTGAACACATCCCAACTAATGTTATGTATTATTCCTGGTTGAATAATTTCCCTGACTAATTTTGAATCATATTGGTTTTGAAGTAGTACTTGTTGGAATATGAGGCTTCTTCCATTATAAGACAGAGGTCCCTTTCTCAGCCCAACTGAAGGCCTACAATTGATCATCTCTTTAGTATATAAGACATGGAATTGCCTTCAATGTACAAGTTCCAGAGTGGTCATTTATGAGGAATTTATTCCTGTGCCTCGAGGCATCCCTGGAGAAAAAGATGACAGTAGGTTTTTTTGGATAATGACATGAATTTGGACTCAGAGGAGGAACTCATCATCACAGGATGGCCAAGTTTCCAGCGGCACCATTGCTTCAAAGTGCCACAATTCTGTGTCAAGGCATGACATGCCAATGATGCTGTGTATTCACTGATGTTACTTCATCAAGGGAAGCACAGGGAGAGGGCAAGGAGATGGGGCAGATTATTTATGAGAGGTGCTGATGCTGTGTAGTGCTTATACAGAGGGTGTTATTTCCCATTCTGCTGCGAGCTCCGAATTTCTACAGCTAGGGGACATTTATGGGAAGGTGCAACCTACTGGTACCCGTGTGCCTGAAGGGTGTGAGTTCAGTGTTTCTTCAATTTGAAGATAGAAACCTTGACAGGATAGGTAAGTCGTGTCGTTTCTCAGAACATGTAATTTTGCTGTCATGTTCATCAAGTCACCAATTTGTTTCATTTTCATTCAGGAAAGCCTGACCTTCTCAGTAGGTCTTAACCCTACAGCAACCATACTCAACTCAGAATTCAAATGAGTGCTGCTGTGCTTGTTTAAGGAACAATAGGAGAATCAAAACCCTTACCAGAAAGAAACAAACATGACACAACAAAAAGAGGAACAGTGCAAGATGGAAAAGAATATTGAAGTGGCCCTCGATGTCTCCTTCATAAAAGGACATGACCAATGAAACATCAAACAATGATAGAACTTGATATGTTTGGTGATTTAAATTGTGTAGTTTCGTGCATAAATTTCGGACTCCGCAGGTTGGATAGCCATTATTTGGTCAAAAATTGTTTGTTTGCATCACAAACAGTTCAATACACTTTTTTATCTCATATACATCAAATTACAAAAAGTATTGCAGTAATTATTTCAAATAATAACCTCCTATCCAAACACAATTATTGTGAGAACTCGAACATAAGCCAAATCAAGATCTTGAATTTTTTGTTAGTTGCTTGACAATCTATCTGGGAACCGTGATCAAAGTTCTAAAGCCAATATCCGTGTACAGCTAAATGTTGTCTGCTATTGGATATTAATCTGTACGTAACGTGATTCACTGTCGGTTGATTTTCAAGAATTTCATTTGACAAAAATTGCACCGTGTTTGGATTGCTATTTTTTAGAATTTTTGTCAAATAAAAAGGGTGATTAAAAATTATTCTCAAGAGAAACGTAAAAATTTTTTGATTGAAAACTACAATATCCAAACACCATTTTTAGAATCAGTCCCCTCTCCCTTTAGATTTTCAGAGACATTCTTGCAGCAGCATTAGATCTTACAAACCCAAAATAAACCCTTTTTCATGATACAAAATTTGTGTGTCAGGTATTTTTCATTCTTTTGACACAATTCTTCTTCACTTTCCACACTTTTTCAGCACTGGCACGTGCTGCCATAGTCCTTGACCGCTGAGTCCAAACTTTGAGGCAGTCTGAAATCTTTTCTGCAACAAAGTCACGGAGAAGTGATAAGTGATAGCTCACATGGCAACTGGCCAAGCTGCTGCTGTTCCACCACCGTTTTCTTTAGATAAAGCCAGCTTGTCCTCACCATATGTAGGTCACCTTGCACGGACCATTGTCTTTCTGAAACTCGTACTATAACTTTTCTGAGTCTTGTGCTGCCAGCAACTTACTCGAAACTAGGCATGTAATCGAGCCGTATATTCGAGCTCAACTCGATCTATAAATAACTTGGCTCGAGCTCGATCGAGTCGAAAAATCTCAAACTCGAGTTTGACTCGAGAAAATCTTTAAAAGCTCGAGACTCGACTCGATAAGGCTCGACCTTTAGTCAAATTTTATCGAGTCGAGTAATCAAACTTTTTGACTCGATACCTTACTTGTAATACATATATATTATTTAAATTATATGGTTCGACGAGCTACTCGTGAACTCACAAGCTACAAAATTCTGACTCGAATTCAACTCGAATGTGTACTCGAATAGCTCGAGACTCGGCTCGAATTCGATCAAATCGAGTTCAAGCCAAGCCATTGACCAAGCTACTCACGTGCAGCTCGACTCGCTTACATCCCTATTCGAAACCACCTTGCCAACACAGTTTTAGGTTAGTAAAGACAGACCACTTTTTCATAAAGTGGGGAGCGTTTGATTCTCGTTACTACCTTGTTAGTGAATGGCGTGTTTTAACCCTTGCTGTTGGTGGTAACTGAAATCATTCAACATTTTTTTTTTACCAAAAAGAGATGCTCATTTATACCCTTCACTGAAAACTCAAAAATAAAAAACTTGTAGTACTAGCTTTTTTTAATAGAGACATACTTGAACACTAGGAAGTTCATCATGTTAGCTGCATTTAAAAGGTTAGAATTTTAAAGTGTAAATTACCTTTTTTATCCTCCTGTAATTTGGTTCTTTATCACATAGCTTCCTATTGTTTAAAAATCTATATATAATCTCTTCGTGATTTGGATTAAAATGTTACTGTTAGTTTTCTCATTAAAATTAACGATCAATAGTAAAAAGTCAAAATCAAACTAATGAATTGACAAATTCACCCTTTCACTGCCTTTTTTTTTCTTCTTCTCTCTCTTTCTCAATCTCTCTCTTTGGGAAGAAAATGATTTTGAAAACCTATACTCTAATTGACAAAATCTTAATTTTTTTTCCAAATGCGAAAAAGATGGAAGAGAAATATAAAATAAATAAATAAGAAACAAAAAATAGTAGGGAAATATAAAACAAATAAATATGAAACAAAAATACCAAATCTTTTACTACAAATATCATTATAGGTTTTTAAACCAAATCTTTAATTTCAATTTCTTCTTTTTATGTTTGGAGGAAAAAAAGAAGCAATTAAAGGGTAAATTTGTTAATTTATTAGTTTAACATTGACCGTTAAATTTAATGGAAAAATTAACTGTGATACTTTGACTTAAATCACAAGGAGGTTACATATATGTTTTTTAAACTGTATGAGGTTATGTGATAAATCATAGGCGACTAAAAGGTGATTTATCCAATTTTAAACCATAAACATATCACAGCATCATCAATAATTTTTTATCCCCAGGAAAAATTCTTTGTAGGCCAAAAAGGTGGGAAGGCCAGTACATTATTGATGCTGAGCAACATTTGCATCTCTTTTTTAGCCGGATGCTGATCATATTACAGTAGTATTATTCTCCACTGTCCACAGCACTGTAATGTAACTTTTTACATATGAATGCTGCTCCATTCAAAGTCGGAATTTTAACAATCATGCTTGCTGGGCTGCTGGGAGCGTCAGGTCAACGAGGGTGTTTGTGATGGATGTTTCATGAGTAATCCAGTAATTGGACCAAAACATGAATGATGAACCCTTTGAAAGTTTTAAATGCTTTATGAATACTATTATGAACATTTGAATTTTGAGAGAAGGGGGGGGGGGGGGGGGAGAGGAGGAGGGGGGTTGGGAGCATGCTTCTCTGGACATTATGACAAAGAAATCCGGATAAGTCTTTCTTGACATGGACAATAATGCTATCAGTGAATGGCGCCGAGACTAGTATCCCATCCATGGAATTGAGATGCATTTCTTCCAAAAAGGGTGACCTATTTTTTTATTGTTGCACAAGTTGAAATCTTTGGTAGTTGAATCAATGGTAGATTAGCCAATGGAAGAATTGCCTGTTGCAATGTGCACTATTATTGTAAGTCAATAATATTTTAAGTTTCAGACTTTTTCTGGGCTTAATATATAGTAATATTCCAAGAACATGTGTGTGTTGCGGTTAAATTGCATTTTTCCTGTATCATCGATGGATTGAGTTGACGATTTGATTTGAGAAATCAAGATCGATCGAATCAGTCAATGCAATCGAACTAGTGTAGAATAGATTAGATTATACAACTGTTATCGTCTCCAGAAAAAAAAAAAATTCAGTCAGTGCAGGACAGGGACGACTTGACGGAGGTGTTGGAATAGCGCAGGAGAAACATTTCCATGCTTCAACAGGGACTAGAATACCAAACCATTGAAATGTTGGAAGGAATGACATCGTAGAAACTTTTTCCGGTTGATGTTGGAAATAGCATTATTGAATAATAATGAAAAGCATCTGGAGTCTTTGAATTTTCGACACATTATACTACTGATATTTTGTTCTATTTGCATGGAGTTAGTATTAATGTGACAACCAAGTTTGTTCTTTTTTTTTTCATTTTTACTTTTGTTCATAAACATTTCAATGAGATTGACTACTCCAAATTATATTGTGGCTTTGTATTCTTTTTTTTTTTTTTTTTGGTGGTTGATAGATTTTGCAAGGATCTATCTAACGCTAAAAGTTAAACTTCAATATCAATACATTAAAACCAATCCAATAACAAACTCTATTTAAGCTGAATTCACTCAATTGAGTATCGAGCAACATTTATTTATGTAACAATTCGGAACGTAAATGAGAGTGTTTAAGTCTATTCAAACTGATTTTTTGTCTAGTTAAATTTCAATGTTTTGAACTTTTTACATGTAAATTTAAATTGTATGCCAGTCGATTCAAATTCCAATCAACCCTAGAAGTTAATCGAGTATAAATCGATTAGTATTTAAGATTGGCTTTGAAACCATCAACGCACTCGATGAATCAAATTTAACGAGCAATGAGTATCGAATAATTTAGTTCGTCTTTTCCAACCTCAATTAGCAGATGTAATTGTTGACGTTGATGGTCAGTTGGATACAACTAGTTTCTGGCTTGATAAAGACTAATAACAGAGTGGCAAATAGCAGCACGGTTGAGACAAAAACCCCAAATCACAACGGTTTCTCAATCAGTGTCACGATCGATGAAATTACGGAGAAACAGATATATATATATATATATATATATATATATATGTATATGTATATATTTTCCCTCCAACATGTACGCTACGGTTGAAGAAAGTAAAGAAACAAAGAGATAGGGGACCAAAGGGCAAATGGCCCCATAGCTCAAATTCCTTTCCTTCTCCCTCCCTCTCTCTATTTTTCCGCTCAATTTGGAAAATCGCAGCATACAAAAGAAACAAATGCTTATACGTTTGCCTTTGCTTCTCCTTCGGGTTTCCGTTATCCCAATATTTCCTCCATTTCTTTTCTTTCCATAACAAAACCCAAAAGAAAAGAAAAAGAAGTCTTTTTTTTCCCCACATTTTCAGTTTTTTTTCCTCTCATTGTTAATTGTAGAACTAATTTTGGGATTGATTTTGCACTGATAATTATGTCAGTGTTATTATAAACTTTGTGAAAAAATATAGATAAAGAGAAGGGGGAAAAAAAATACAAACAAAAGGTATGTCATATGTGCGGGCATTATCTAATAAGCTACATTTACTCTGATCCATATCTTCAAATCTTACCCTAATTTCTCAATCTGCTGATGATGAATGTCATCTGCGAATGCTTCAGATGCAGGTTGTTTGCATATTTGAGATAATGTAAGAAGTATTTGAAGATCAGACAATGACTAATCGGAATACGGAAGCTCCTCAGGTAGGAATCCGTCATGGGATCATCAAATGTCAGCTTGATCGTTGTGATTTTGTACTGCATTGTGGATTCTTTTTTAAAAATTTATTTTTGTTATTGAGGAAATATTTTGTGAATGAAATATTGGTTGGATGGTGTTGTTTCAGGGCGAAGGTGGTAATAATGCTGTGGCTGCTGCACCACCTCCGCCTTCACCTTCACCGCAGGGGTCCAATGATAGTCTGATTTCTCGCGGTAATAGCAAGGTAAATCATTTTTACGTGTTTCCCTACATTTGTAAATTCGCACATTTTGTTTTTTTTTTTTTATGATCCGAGGTCATGCTCCCATGCTTTTAAGGTGTATTCAGATCTCTTTCTTTCTTTTGATGTTACTGCTGCAAATCGTTTGGATGATTTCCTTTATATTCTGTCAAAGTTTATCTTTTTCTTTCTTTTTTCTCTACCCAACAAATACTAATAAATGTTCTTTTGGGCTTGCGAGGTTAATCAATGTTCAGTTGCACTTATTATTAGGGATGACATCGCCAACAATTAGCTTAGAAAAGTTTGAATAAAGTAGAGAAAGAAAATGTAATGAATATATCACTAGTATTGTGATTTTTGATCGTGATTAGTTTTGGGGTTGCATGCTTGTTTACAAGCATGGTTTAGGTAGAATAGATTTCTGGCTATGAGCAAAACTATGCATACAAATTGATGGCCCAGAGAAGTTCTGGCTATTTGGATCGTACAAAGCATTTGGACTTGCTAAGTGTTTTTCTACGTCTTGGAGCTTAGAAATTTGATAATATTACTGCCATATACACACCGATACTTTGTCATTATTACACACACACACACCTATGTTTTGTGATTATTTTACTCTTAGGCGATTTGAGAATGTAATGAAAATTAAGGTTTGTCAGCTGAATGGGATTTCCTTATACGCCTGTATTGGTGGCTTGCTTTGGTATTTATAGAGCTGATTTGAGAGGATATTTGATATAAACTACTCAATGTTGATTGCAGGTTTACAAAAGTGGTCCTCTTTTTCTATCATCAAAAGGTACTATGGTTCTCCTTCATTTATTAGTGGGTTTGAAAGTACGATCTTAACAAAGTTCTCTCCTTTTTTCCGTTGCAATTTCATCAATGTGTTGTCCTCTTTAATAAATTTACTGCTCAGCCTCTTTCTATCTTGTTAGAGGAAAAGACTACTTATGGGACTTTTTTATTTTATTTCTTAAGAATTTATACTGTTCAAAATTAGAGCTAGCGAAAACTGAGCAGTCGGATCTTAAAATATCACCTTTTTAAAATTTTTTATTTATCAAGTTCTAATTGAAAGAACATCAATCCACATTTTAAGCAGTTGTTCTGGATCTCAGCATGGTGGAAACCTCTGTTCCATATGAGGTCATCAATCATGTAAATTTTCTGAGACAGTAGATCCAGAAACTATCTGTGCAGTTTATCTTTGCCAAGCCTAAGAAGCTAGTATTGTTTAGTTTATCTGTTTAAGCCTGTATCTAAGATTGTTTCTCCAGAACTGCATACCCATGATAATTGTGTATGAAGAACAAGAATGTCCTTTTTCATTTTTTCAAAGAAGCAGCAGAGGAATGAGGAATTTGCTATGACCAGCAACACAGACACAAAGATTTTGGTTGGATGAGAAGCATCATTGAAGGGGTGAAATTGAGTCTATAGTGAATCGTACATGAAACCTGATAATTGTAAGAGATGATAACAGACAAGGGTATAGCAGTGTGAATGAACACAATTTCAACTAGTGGTAGGATCCTCCAGCAAAGTTCTAGATATTCGGTTTTAGTTAGCATATCAGCATGTCAATCTCATGAGTCATGGTGCAATGACCTTTTGGTGCTTAAATTTTTTATTTTGTCCTTCCGTGAGACCCAATTAAGTAACTCTTTCTTTGGTTTGTTTGACCAAGTATAGCATGACCAAGTTTTGCCGGATTGAAGTATCTCTAGGTGAATTTGGTGTGTCTAGCTGTCCATGCTCCCATTTATTGTTTTCACCTCCTTTACGAATCACACTTGTACTTGAAGGGTATTTCAGGGACATCAATGAATGAATTACTCTGATTGGTGGCCTAGGCTTACATAAAGATGGTTAATTCTACATTCATCTCTGAAGCATAGATTCATCACGATTGTGTATTGCAATTGTAATCTTTCATCTTCAAAGAGTCTTGGAGATGCCATATTGTAGCTTGTTTTCAGAAGCACTTTTTCATGCCTTAATGACATGAATTTGCATGAATTTTCATTTTGAAGTTGTTGGATTACATGCAGGAATTGGATGGACATCATGGAAGAAGAGATGGTTTATCTTAACACGTACATCGTTGGTCTTCTACAGAAGTGATCCTGTGAGTTTGGATATCTTTCCCTGCATCCAGAGATCTGAGAGCTTCTGATATAATTTTCTACATTAGTATATTACTATCACTTCAGCGTTCATTCTTCTTGAATGTAATACAAATTATAACTCTTTTTATGTTTTTGAATGACTAAGTATTTCTGCTTTAGTTCTCATCAGGAGGTCATTTTCTTAGCTCTATTTGGAATACTCAGTAAGGGCTGATGTCTGCCTTACATTGTACATATATTACACGGAAATGTTGCTAGATGACCTAGTGCATGCTGTTCATTGTAGAATATTATGATGAAATTCTGGTATTATGATTTGAAATCACCTCGTTTACAGAATGACAATCTATAGGGTCTCCTCTTTTCTTGTCATTTTACTTACGATACTCATGTCTTTGTCTTCTGAGTAGAAATGTGTAATGTGTAAAGTAATTAACACATCTTCCCACATATAGCATGAAATCTGGAACTTGATTCATTCTCCTTGATGTAACAATAAACAGTTTTCTTTTTCTTTTTTTAATAAAATCTGTAAAATATTTGATGCAAAGGGAAACATCTATTCTACATGTTGGGACTAGGCTCCTTCCAAGTCTTGCACACTACCATTGTCTGAATGGTGCTTCCAACATGCTGAATGTATTCATTTGATGTAAGTGTAATTTTGCTAACTCAAACCTACACCCAGGTGGAATTGTTCATGTTAGAATTGCATATACGAGACAATCATCTTCTTAAGTGCTTGAATGTAGGATAAACTTTAGATTAAGCTTGTCTTTATTGAATAAAAGTAATAATCTTGTAGAGATATCAAAGGCTTGCTAAAGTTGCTTTAATTTTCATCAAAATAGAGACACGCTAAATTGAAGATTGTTTTTATATTTCAGAATGCAGTTCCTCAAAAGGGGGCTGAAGTGAATCTGACCCTTGGTGGTATAGATCTCAACAGTTCAGGCAGGTTGGCTTGTTTTAAGCATTGTTCTTCATTTCTATGTATTTCTTGCAGTTCTTCCCACGGTTGCTATTATAGCTTAAGATTTTTTACTGATGCTGCTCATTATGTTGATGTAATGTCTAGTGTGGTTGTCAAAGAGGATAAAAAACTCTTGACGGTTCTATTTCCTGATGGTCGAGATGGACGAGATGGACGAGCTTTTACTCTAAAGTACCATCCTCTCTTCTCTCTCTGACACAGAGACAAATGCGTCCCATTCCAAGGTTCATCTTTTGTCTTGTTGGTATGTAAAATTTGTAGTACTTCTTTGCATTAAATCCTCCTCTTCAAATTCTTCTTTACCCATTTTCTCATTTGGTCTAAAATCTGAATTAAAACTGCTTCTAATGCAATAAAGTAGTATGAAGTAGTATTTATTGCCTGCAAAGATCCTTGTGCTAGTTAAAAATTTTATGCCGTCAATGTTGGATAATCATTTCACTGAAGTGGGAAGTAGTAGGCTTATATCTAGGAATAAAATCATCTACAGAAAATGTTCTGAAAACTGGCCTTTATCTCTTTTAACTTTTTTATGTACCTTTTATATTTGAACACATTTAAGAATGTAGTTTACTCTATATGCGATATATGTTTCAAGGATGTAACATGACCCAATTCTATGTTTAGTGCCTCAAGCTTCCCATTTTTCTTTAAGTTGTAAATTCTTCATTTCTTGTTCCTTTTGCAACAATTTTGCCACAAATCGCAGGCACTTTGATCCTGCAGTCAACAAACTGTAGGTACAATTCCTGGTAGAGATCTGATACTAAATTCTAAATTCTATAATCATCAGTTCCACATTTAACTTTAATGGTCTACAGCATTTAATGTGGAGAAGATCTTTATATTGTCATCAAACATGCAACAGTTCATGATGGGATCAGTGGTCATCCAGTGAGCAAATAGAAACTGTTGTAGTTGAGCTGTAAAGTGTTTTTGTCCTCTGTCCTGTGACATTCATGTATAGAAAGGTTTATCCGCCAAATTCTCCAAGATCACATTACAATGTCTAAAATGGATGATGGAGTTGATATCTTTAATCCTGTATGGTTTTCTAAGATTAAGGCTTCAATTCCCACCAACTTGAGAGGGGTTGGAGGTTCATTCTTCTTGTATTACTTGTGGTATCAGAACTGTGGTCCCTTGAATTTTCATGGTACTCCCTTGAACTGAAGCAGCTTTCACATGGTGCTCATTTCAACTGAATTTATTGCTGAGCTGACCAAAACCTTTTATAAGGAAAAAACTCCCAATCTCACTGACCCACAAACACATGATAATGCATGGGTGTGCATGTTCACGTATTATGTATGTATGGAATAGAAACTTGGGAGAACATCAACAGATTTTAATGAAGAATACAGTAGGGTGTTGGAAAGGACCTGACTGTGGCGGAGAAAATATATCCACTATATGAGTATCATGATTTAGACAAATGTGAACCTACCTTTTATGGCCCAAGTTCTTTTTTGTTTCCTTAAATGTGACACAAGAATTGGCATTTTAGGTGTGCAATAAAGTAGTAATCTGGGTCTATTTTAGTGGTCACCTTCTGAGATCTCTTTGTACCACAGGCAGAGACATTAGAGGATCTCTTTGAGTGGAAGGCTGCGCTTGAAGAAGCTTTGGCAAATGCTCCAAATGCTGCTCTTGTTATGGGACAAAATGGTATATTCAGGAATGATCAGGGCAATATTGCTGATGCTTCTTCAGAACAAGGTAAGTTTCCTGTCATTTAGATAAGTTGTCCCCGACTTAACTGTCTTGTCTTTAAGTTCTGCACGTTTCTTCAAAACTATGTGAATTCCCATGGCTATTCTTTGCAATTTTTCTTTAGTAGTTGAAGCTTCTTTTTCACAAAAAAATTGTTTCCATTTCCGTAAGGTCACGAAGAATGCAGATTTTCACCATTGGCCACTGACTTTTTTGTGGTTGTTATAAGTGAATGAAATAAACGCGCATTGTAGCACGAGAATTATTAACTAACAACATTTATAGCTGTTTTCTTTTACATTTCTCAAGAACATATAATTAGAAGTAAGTATTTGTCATTCTTTAATTAATCCCTGGAAACAAATTAGTCTTTCTGATTTGGCATTTCTTGCATGCATTTTGCATAATTTTGTTGTAATTTTCTTTCAACAATTTTATGTAAAAACTTTTAATGTATTGAAGAGATTAATCTACCCGGTGGCTAGCGCTCCACTAAAATTATTGTGGTACACAGTGAAAGTATTTATGATAATTCTTATGTACTGACAGTGGATACACTATCACAGTTGGATAAATGACACATATGCAAAATTTGGATTTCAAATTTAATTCAGTTGAATTGTCACACATCCATTGGCAAAGGTGTATATACTATCAGTGTATAGAAGATTAATTTTTTATGATATTTTAGGATGTTGTTACAGGATTTCTGTTGGATTCTTGAATGGTAGTAGTTTTCCTAGTTTAGATATCTCTGTCATGGATATACATGAGGACTGTATTTCCTGTCCCATCTACAGCGAAGGATAGACAACCAGTCAAATCTTTGGTCATTGGGCGACCAATTTTACTTGCTTTGGAAGATATAGATGGAACTCCATCTTTCTTGGAGAAAGCCTTGAGGTTTCTGGAGGATCATGGTAAGGTCTCTTTATGGAACATGGTAATATTCCATTTCATGTCCACAAACTATTCGGAACCCCCTACTAGTTGAGGACTTTGTCTTGATAGCCTACTTGTCTCATATGCTTCGATTTTGGAAGAAGTGCATGTTTGATGGATCATCGAGCACTGTTTATTTGACAATTCTCTTCCAGGAGTTAGAGTTGAAGGCATTTTACGACAAGCTGCAGATGTTGATGATGTTGAACGCCGAATTCACGAATATGAACATGGTTTGTAAGCTTTGTGCAGTGCTTTTGATGATTTGTATCTGCATTAGTCACAGCTTTTTTTAGATTAACTCGATATTTGCATATGTAGAACTATATTGTCTTTAGTCTTTTTGTAAGAAAGCTAGTGAAACAATATGTGGATTGGGGTATTCATAAGACTATCTGATGCCTTGGTTCAAATTAGAAGACTGTTTTCCATATAAACGTAAATAACTGATACTTTCTACTTTTTAACTTGTATCTGAACTTTGGACCTGCCGTACGTACTCATAACTTACCATGGAGTTAGGCAGCGCCAAGATATTAGGGCAAATCGAGGCGGTAATTAGTGAATGGCTTTTCTTGTCATAATTCCACGCCAAGACCTGTTTCCCTTTCATTTTCTGCTTTCAAATGATTTACAAAGAAGCTATACAGATGAGTTACGTAGCCATAATGAGATTATCATTAAGCCATTGATTTTATTACTTTTCTTACATTAGATAAGCATTGTAGTTGATGCAATATATTCAAGATAACTAAGTGAATACACCTAGTTTGTACTTCTTATTCCAGGGAAAAGTGAGTTTTCTTCAGAGGAAGACGCACATGTTATAGCAGACTGTGTCAAGGTATCTCCTTCAGTTACAAAATAAACAAAAAAAGAAAAATTGTGGATTACATGTTCGTAGGCATACTCAGCTACTGACTGTTTCTCTATGGACTTCTCCAGTACATTCTCCGGGAGCTACCATCTTCTCCAGTTCCTGCATCTTGCTGTAATGCCCTGTTAGAAGCGTATCGTAAGTAGTTTCCCTTTTATCTGTTTCTCTTCTTGCTAACATATACTTATGAACATCTACTGTGAAGGGGAAAGAGCAAAGTATTCATAATTAGGATAGTGTATTATTAAATTTTGCAAACTCTGATAATTGCATCATGTGCTCATGATCCATTCTAGCTGGTTTAGTTCTTATCTCAAATGACCCATGCTTTTCCTTACATATTACATCAACTTACAGTGAATGGTCTTTAATCTATTGATTGAATTATGTCTTCCCTTTATTTCGTTATTTCAAGTATATGAATGAGGATAATACCTTTTTCTTGATCAAATTTCTAGCAAATAGAAAATTTGAACAGTTGGACACTTTTGCACATCAAACATTAAGAATATGAAAGATGGACAGACAAACACTGTAAATTTCTGGATTATGTTGTTACATTAACCTATAAAATTACAATGGATATATTATATCTAATTCATCCTTCGTAATGCTTTTAGTTTAATGGCTTTCAAGGGTTTCTAGTCTGTCAATTAGTTGCTGGATCACTTATGAATGTCAACATTGTTTATTCCTTCAGGAACTGAGCGCAGCATGAGAGTCACTGCAATGCGCACAGCCATATGTGAGACATTCCCGGAGCCAAATCGGCGCTTATTGCAAAGGTAGCTGCTATTTTGATGATGTTATAACGTGCTGGAACGAAGCTATTCCAGGATATATGTGACTGTTTGCCTCACTTTTTTAATCAGTCAAGTACTTGATAATTTGTGATTTATATTTCAGCCTTGAGAAACTTCATTTTTTCTGTAGCACTTGTATTAGCAATGCATCAACTTCCTTAAAGTTGGCAATTGGTTAACTGGGATTATAACTTCATAAATAAGGTTCACTGGAAGTGGTTTGGCCTGGAAATACTTTGTTTGGACTTTATTTGCCTTAACAATTGCTTTATTTCTCTGGTAAAATCTTATGCTCTTTCTGCTGCGTTTAATATTAGAAAAGGAAATCCAAGTTTATGGTTTAGGATATTTTGGGTGCAGTTCTCATAATAGAAAGGGGAATCTTAGTATATTTCAGGCAATGATATAAAGGAGGTGGATCTGCTACATGTTTGCCATGATATATCTTGTGCTAGTATTCCCACAGTTGGCGCGTTGTGAATTGGAAAGCAAAATTTGAACACTATAAATTCATATCAGTTTATAATTGACAGTATGTTATATTCATCAGCCTGACAGTATGTTAATGCCATCAGTCATGGTGACTATCAAAAGACTTCCAAAATCCATGATTGGTTGACTTATTTCCATGTGGTTGTCTGAGTAAGTCTTTTGAACCTAGTTATTGTTTAGGTTGCTTCTTAACTTTTTATTTAAGCCCTGTTCCATAGTCTGCTTTATAGTTATTTTCCCTCTGTCCCCCCAAGCCCCACACTGTTAAAAATTATGAGAAATATTCTGCAGGCATTATTTGTGGCAATCTCTCTCTCTCTCTCTCTCTCTCATATTTTTGGGGATCATGTTATGCAAAATTAGCTTATTTTTTATACATGAAATAGAGAAATTATTTTATGGGGGAAAGAAAGATAACTTAAGTGTGTAAAGAAGAGCTGGTTGATCCAAAGCTGAGTAAAAATCGTAAGGAGCTGTCTACCTCCGATGTCTGTCAGGTCATGTGATCTGGACTCATAAATATAGGATAAGGATTTTCAGTTATTATAGCCATTGGGAATGGGAACTATTTATCCATTTCTTATTAAACCTCAATTCACCATTTATCATGGATATGCATTTCTAAATGTCTACTGAGATTCTAACAAAATATTGTGCATCTAATCTTTTTCTTTTGTCTCAGAATTCTTATGATGATGCAGACTGTGGCTTCTCACAAGGCTGAGAACGAATGAGCATTTCAGCTGTGGCAGCATGCATGGCACCTTTGCTGCTGCGTCCCCTTTTGGCTGGTGATTGTGAACTTGAACATAACTTTGACATGGGTGGTGATGGTTCTGTTCAACTTCTGCAGGCTGCCGCTGCAGCAAACCATGCTCAAGCCATCGTTATCATTTTGCTTGAGGAGTACAATAACTTATTTGGGGTATGCTTCTTTGGTTGTTATCATTTATTTCTATTTTCTAAAGTCATTACTGCCGACCATGAATAAAGTGGTGTGAAGTATCTCATAGTCATTCGAGCTTATTAGAATTCTTGTGGAACAACATCACAAAGTTTAAATTGTTTCGGACTGTCATTTTCTTCTTAATGATCTTTGGTATAGTCTACCTCTTTTTTCTTTTTTTTTTTCAATGGTCACTTAATTGATTCTTCAGAAAATTAGACCGCTCATTTAAATCCCTTTTGTCAATTCTGTACTGGAGAATGTGATTTTTTTTTGTGTGAATTTCACATCATTTTATTTTTTTGCCCTAGCTTGCCTGATATTTTTTGTTGAGTTGCAAAGGCCATGATACTGGGCCCTGCCTTTTGAAATTTTTCATGATTTGGACATAAATCACCTGGAAAAGTAAGGATTTTTCCATCTTGAAGCCACTGAGAGTAGCAGGATATATATTCTTAAGGTTTCTAGATGAAGTTGTAGAAACTGAAGTAGTAACTTCATGTCACAGGTATTTACTTCTATTTATTTATATAGTATCTGATGCATCGATGCATTTTTGACATCCATTGCTATAAACAAAAGAAGAATATTGCAATAGGTAGGTTATCAACTGCAGCCACATTTCAATTTACTGTCTTTGGCGGAATATGTCCTTTCTTCTCTATTAGGTGATTTACCCTATCTTCTGGTCCATGTCTGCTGCTCACTATGTCCCTTCTAGCATCATTGAATCTCTTGTTCTTCAAATTTGATCAGGCAATTGCCATCTATTTGTGTTGTTCAAATCTTTGATAACACGATAAAACATTGTTCAACCCTTCGACAACATGAAAAAACCAGAAGCTTCGCCTGCCCTATCCATCCAAGGGATGGAAGGGCAGAGGCGTTCGGTGTCCCCTCCCCCTCGCCAGTCAAGAATTGGGAATACTGTTTATACATTTTCTCAATTCTGGGGATCTTGGAAACAGATTTTGTAGTTGGTTTGCTGCCAGATGATTTCTCAGCAGCGAGCTTGTTCGAGATTTCCACATTCATCAGCTCATTAAATATCAATAACCCGTATTTGTTGTCATATATACTCTCTTCTATCCACTTGATGTTTTTACTCTTTCTCCTTGTGTTTGAGACTGACATGTGGGACATTGATACCGCAATTGTGAGAGTTCACATATAAGTTTGGATTTGATATAGTATGACTTATTGCTGCAGTATTTTAAGGTGTCTTTATGAGCTTATGAAAAGATTGCAGTGGTTTAAGAAGTCTTTATGAGCTTTTTCATTCATACTGCAAGATAAGTTGAACTTTTTTTCTTGCCAAGCTCATAAACCATCCTTAGCTTATAGTCTACAAAAATTTAGATTAATAAGTTGACTGGAACAGTAAGTTAGATATTGGATGTGATGTTGGTCATTGGAAACTGAAGATCATTGTTCTTTTTGTCTAATTCATTGATTGTTTAATGTTAACTGTCCTTTTGGTTCTGCTCAATCTAACTAACTATGAGAAATTTTACAGGAAGGTCCTGTATCACCTGAACCATACACAGATTCAGAAGAGAGTGGAACTGAGACTGATGAACTCACTGATGATGATGAAACCTATGAAGACGAAGATGATTATACAACAGAGGGCTCTGATGCAGTTGCAGATGATGATAGTGATCATGCATCCGATACAAACAAGTACTGAGATTGATGGAACAGAAGAAAATAATAAAGTGAGTTCTGCTGTTATTGAAACTGAGCATTCATATGACTGAACCATATAATGATGTCTTTGTCTTGGTCCTGGAGTCCTGTATATTAATTTATTCTATATTTCTCATCAATTTATTTGTAAATTTTTGAGGTTGCTCGTGAATATAATATCACATTGACACATAATTGAAGTGTGAGTTAATTGTCAATCCACTGTTACTCTATTCATGACCCACCACAAAAGTGAAAATCAGGGTTAATGCTTATCAATTTTGTTTAATTTTCTCGGATGCTAGGACACACTTTGTTATTTGACCATTCATTTATGCTCTGCTTTAGTTTATTTTTTATGGAGGTACTCAAGAATGCTGACATGTACATCTTTGGATACACGATTCTCTGTTACTCTTATCCTCTCCATTTTTAAAGGAAAAATATCTAAGTCGTACTAATGCTAATTGAAATGATGCTGCAGGAGTCAGAGTGTTCAAACTCAGGTTTCAATATTCCTGAAGTGGAAGATGTTCATGAGTTGAATAAAACATCACCAAGATTGCCTAAAGCTTCAGGGTTTCAACAGGAAAGCATCAATGTTAGCCAGGAAATTCCGGGGGGAGTAATGATGATTCTAAAGTTAAAGATGATGACCCTGATGGTGGTCTATTGGTAGGTGATCCTGATGAAACATCCAATGTTAACAAGTCGTCCTTGAGATCTTCAACAGGGCAAGCTCAGAGTGTCCGTCGGCCTGCTAATTGGGGCCGTACTCCTGTGAGTATAGTATAAAGTTAATTCATGAAACAGATTTGACATGGTGCCTTCTTCTTTTTTCCCAATTGGTTAAAGTTGTGTGAAGTTATGCTGTTTGCATTCTTATTACAACAACCTTTTCATTCTCAACGTCTCTTGTCAACATTTTTTCTCTTATGCCAGTTTATTATTTTTCTTCACGTCACTATAACTGGATCCTGTCTCATGTCTATGGTCCAGGGAAGGAAGAACCTCTCTATGGAATCTATTGATCTTACGCTTGAAGATGAGTAAGTGACATATTTGTGTTATCTCAATATTAGTTCACAAACAGATTTGTGTTATCTCAAAATTAGGTCACAAATACATCTACACGTTCATGTTATTTTGGAACAGAATTGGCAGATATCTTTTAATGTGAACATTGAAATCTCTAGATTGTTTCGATAGTACGATACTTTCTTCTTTGATGCTCTATATGCTTGTTCAATGGAAGTCACTGCAATACATTGATATCATCTATTAGGTTTATTGATTGTTTGCATTCTCTCTAGAATGTGTTTGACAATGAAAACCTCTTCGAATCACTAAAACTTGGATTCTGATTAGGCCTGAAATCCAGAGACTAGAGGCTGCCAAAGCTGAATTGCAAACTAGAATTGCAGAAGAGGTTCTATTTTTCTTTATTCATATGCTCTATCAAGTATCATTTGAAATATATTGCCAATTGTTTATAACTGATCATTTTTTTTGTCACAATAGGCTAAAGAGAATGCACATTTGCAAGCAAGTTTAGAAAAACGGAAGAATGCTTTGCATGATCGTCGTCTTGCTCTTGAGAGAGATGTATGTGCTAAATGAAGAATCTAATTTTTCTACATCCCTTTCCACACTTCATTTACATTTTTAGTACGTGCTACATCCAAAATGAAAAAGGAGATTTTGATGAAGTTCACTTTTCCCAGGTGGCAAGATTACAGGAGCAGTTGCAGAAGGAGAGGGAGTTGCGGACAGCACTCGAAGCTGGACTTAGAATATCTCAAAGACAGTTAGCTGTCTCATCTACCATTGATGAAAAGGTCATTATACTTCAAAAAGAAATTGATTAGATCTTACTTATGCAGTAAATAATTAACTTATTGGCGTAACTTAGATGACGGCTGAGATCCAGGAAATTGCTCAAGCAGAGGCAGATGTTATCAGTTTGAAACAGAAGGCTGATGATCTTGGACTGCAATTAAATCAGCAACGTGAACAAAATTCAAGGTTGCAGCTCGATATAGGCAATCAACAACCAAGTTCAAATAATAAAGCAAAATGGTAAGTATTTTTGTTGCTTTCCTCTCTTTTTGTTTCAGCTCTGTTCTACATGAGTTTAGGACGAGGCTTCTTGTTGGTCAAGTTTTATATTAGCATTCTGATTTCTTTGTTTTCCACTTGGAACAAATTCCTACCTTCAACCCTTAAAATCTGCACAGAGAGAGAGAGAGAGAGAGAGAGAGTGTGTGTGTGTGTGTAAAAGAGTTGTAGAGAAAGGAATGACTGTAAGCTATTGCCTCCCTTCTGCTGAAGTGTAATTCCAGTCCTGTACTTGTACATCTGTCCACTCATTGGAAAATACCTACTGCTATCTTTTGTTGTTAGAAAGATTAAATGGCGTGCTCTGGTAATTGTTTGTATTATGTCTCTTACATGCTCCTCTGTCTTGCATACAGGAAGGATAGGCAGAAAAAGGTGGAAACTGCATCTACTCCACGTAATAATGAAAAGTTAACAAGAAGTAAGGTGTGCACTGTAATGATGGCTTGGATTTTGATGACAATTATTATTATTTTGTCTGATGGCATAGTATATGGAAAAGTATCAAATCGAGAATTTTTTTTTTTTTTAACTAATCGAACATAGCACTCCGAGGTGCTCAGGATGTCTTCCAAATAATTAGCAATCACTCTTACGTCCATATATTCCCATATTTGTGCTTTCAAGCATAGACTTTATTTTCTGATTTGAATCTTTCAAAGGTTAATTTTTGCTTTCAAAAGTGTTAGTATTTATCTCCTTTTTACCATTCTGACTTCTTGTACAGATTACTGGATTAATATCCTTCACACCTAGCTAATTAAAACAAATTTTGTTGACATATGCTCAAAACAACTTTAAGTCAGAGAGATGAAGCAAATTATGCAATGCTTATGATAAACTTCCCTCAGGCGTTTCAGATTTCTGGATTGGCTGTGATTTACTGACTGATGTTCCATCCCGGTTTTGAAATGTATCACCCTATGTCTCTAGGACAGTAAATTTTTTACCTATTCTTTATGTACTCTCTTCCATACCACATATTGTTGGAACTTTCCTGGATTGAGTTTCCTATTTTGTCAACATAATTGAGTAAAAGGATTACATCAAGAGGCTAACACAGGTCTTAATTTCTCCTTGTATAGCACGATAATCGCCCCGATAAGGCAGATAGTGACAAAGATAAGAACGAAGAATCTCCTTTTTACACCAATGAAAGTTCACTTCAGAACCAGCAAACAGATCAAGTCCTTTATCAGAGCGCTGGTGGAATTTTGGCAAATACACCCCCTTCTGAACAAGGGGTGGTCAGGCCTGCTTCAACAATACTAGAAAGTCCAGTTCTAGAAGTGAGGTAAGCACATTATCTTTTCATAAAGACTTTTCCTTGCATACATGAATTGATTAATGAGACTGTTTACAATCTCTCACTCTCCTTCTTTTTTTGTCGTGACAGGGAACTAACTCTACCTCTTCTGCACTGTCAAAACTAACAACCCGACTCAACTTCTTAAAGGAGCGACGCACTCAAATTGCAAATGAGATCCAGAATATGGACAAAAGCCGGAGTTCTGGTCTGCCTGTCCAAAATCCTGAGAGAGGTAAAGGATCTGAAGCACGTCAGTCACTTCAGAATACAGAGAAATTGCAAGTTTCTGAAGGTCAATCATCAGAAAAAAATGAAATATTGGATAGCTACAACCAAGCACTTCCTAATTTTGATGGTCAATCAGATCAGGGAAAAAGACCAGATGCCCATCCAAACCTGGACAGAGGAAAATCTGAAAGCTTCCCACCAGTTGACAAAGGCCGATCAAAGGTCACTCCAAGGATAAATTCTAGATGATACGAAGTTCTTTCTTGAATTTGCCACTCAGGTTCATGTATTCCGCTACAGGGACTACATTGTGGATACGTTGGGGGCTTTGAACTACCAAGTTGTGATCAGAGACACTTATACTCAGCCCCCATGCTCTGAAAACTGCTGATGGAAGCAGACACTCCCCATACCCCTTAATGTACAGGTTGGCCATCTATAAGATGGGAATCCAACTGTTTGAGAAGTTGAATAATAGCTGGTTTTTGCTTGTTTAGGTGCCCAATGAATTTCCATTTCTGCAAATGCAATCCGTGATTTTCCTCGCTAGCTGAAGCGTAATGTAATGAACCTCGTGATACTGTCCTATTTTCAAGCTGTCAATTGGAGCTTGAACTTTGGCTGGCAAAAACAAAAACAGAAAGGAAAAGTTTTGATTCTGTCTCCTGTCATTAACTCTTTTCTCTTTGGTCATATTTCTGTTGTAAAGACATGCGGACGTGTTAATTAACACAGCATATATTGGAATAACCCGCAAAAACCGGTTCCTTTCGCAAATGCACCTGTGTCAACCTACCTTCTTTTTGTTTTCAACCCTTTTTTGTTTTCCGACAGGAAGGCCTGTAGCAATTAATGTCGAGCTCAAACAGGAAGACTGGCATTAACCCCATTTTTGTTTTCAACCTTCTTTTTGTTTTCGATTATCTAATAAATGTAGAAAATTTTTCTGTTCGCTTAAGAATGCAGTTCTCATTAAACAATCAAAAGAATGTCTCATTTTGTTACCGTTACTCAATGGTCAATCATACAAAATTGGCCTCAAAGATTTAGAAATCCTTGAGAATTTTCCTGACTTGCTCTAGCGTGACAAACAAAACCACAGTAAAAGGGCCCTGCCTGGAAATTTGGGAATAAAGCCCTTGTAAAGAGCCATTGGCCCCTCGGACCTAATTGTCTTGAGGGCACAATCTACTGCACCCGAATATGGCGGTGCCATCCCTGGCTGAACTTTCATATTCATCACCCTGGTCTTGATCACATCCACCGGGTTCGACGCCACCGCAGCCACGAACCCGGCGGCAAAGCTCGCCGTGACATGGGTCCCAAGCCCATCATTCATTACTCCATGATCCAGTATGGCTTCCTTGATTTGATCATAGGATGCAAGCTGTGATGCAGTAACAATCATGGCTCGGTTCACTGTGAGAGATGAGCCGCGCCACAGGCTGGCGATCCCCTCCTCCCGGGACATTTTAGTAATTGCATCCAGGACCCCCTTGTAATTACGCCGCTGAGACACAGGGAGCCTTCCGTCGGCTTGCATACGGACCATTGCCACGTCAGCCGGGTTTCCCACGGCGGCTCCAATGCCCCCGGCGAGCAATCCGGCTGCGATTTTCCGGCTGAGCGGGAATTTCCCGGAGCTGGGGTCGCGGCCATTTTTGCTTGAAAACCTCGTACAAGCCCATCCTGGTGGTGGAATACAATGTCTGGCGGAGGACAGTGGCGGAGACGCCGGAAAACAACGCGGCTACGCCTTCGGTCTGCATAATCTTGATCCCCACAGAAATGGGCCCTGATTTAGCGACTTGCGGGAGCGGCCGTAGGATGAACGTCGAGATTGTTATGAACAGAGATTGCATGAGAAGGATGGAAGGCCAAGGCTGGACGAAGAGTCAAAACCTGTTGGGCAGGCTGTTTCCCTGAAGTTGCATTCGGACCTTGATAAGGTCCAATGGGTGCGTAGAACAGCCGGCAACGATGCTAGCAATGCCACCCTCGACGAAACTTTCAAACCCATGGTTTACAGTATATAGTGCTATTGTAACCGAAAGGTAGGATTTTTGAAAACTTTCAGATGGGTTTTCCAGCTAAAAAAAGTAGTAGCGATTAGTGAAAGATGTCGATACAGGATCCTTGGACATGTATGTACTTTGAGAACAGAAACGGTTTGGAGTTGGTTTGAAGGAGAGAGGACGGGGTGGCGAATTTATACGGGTGGGTGTGGAGAAATGGGAGGAGGAAAGTGGAAGGGCAAAGAAAGAAAGAGAGAAAAGATGGAGTCAAGGCGCGGGGGTCAGGGGCCGCGTCCGTGTAGGAGGGGAGGAAACCGAGGCCCCGAAAAGCGAAGAGTGAAGGCAGCTGGCTGCCTGCCTAGGTTAAAACTGGAGCTGATGCAGTTTGTTTAGTCCGCTGAATTTCTAGAATGACTTCCCTTTCAATCCGTCCTACTTAATAGTAGTGTATTTTTCAATTTCATTAATTATCTCTATTTTTTTTTTTTTTTTATTTAAGTATTTTCATTCTTAATTCGTAGACACTTTCATAAAATTTAAGGATAATTTCAAAAACGTCCCCTTAAGTTTTTGATAATTTCATTGAACTCCTTGAGGATTTTAATATTACACGTACATCTCTTAATAATAGACAATGATTACAACAGGCTTCATAATTTTCCAAATGACAAGCCATTGAAAAGGAAAAAAAGAAGGAAAACCAAAAAATAAAAAGAAAATTCTTCTTGACCAGGTCACCAGGGCATATGTTGTGCCCAAATCGGCTACTAAATCGTAATCTTTACTATTAAAAATACACCTATCAAGGAAGATGTCTCATTTCTTATCGTCAGCTTGCCATCACTATTATTGTCACCTTTCCTTTCCTAAAGTGTCTCCTCAATCCTTGACCTTTTAAAAACTAATCTGAAACCTGCAACTCTTTTTTTTATTATTTTTTTGTCCTACTCATTTCAATCTTGATGTCACCATCCATAAATTGAAATAAAATGGAAACCCAAAATTTTCGCACAAAAAACCTATCAAAGTCTTTACCTCACCAATCTTATTGTCATGCCAGCGTTGTTTTTTATGATGATGGTAGCAATCATCACCACCAACAACCCCATTATTCATATCATTACGCACAAAAAATTTACCGGATTACGAAAAGAGTGTAACTCGATAGATGATACTAAACAACTACCCTAAACTTGCACTTTGTTAATGTTTTGCCTGGTTCCTCTTAGTAAACATTGAAAATGTTCTCAATTGAAATTTGTCAGTTTAAAGGAAAAAAATGCGGGGTGACTTGCATGACAAAGGTTAGAAGAATTTTGGTAATTGAGGGTTTGGGCGTTTGAGTGGGGGAGGTAAGGGTTGTGAGTCTTATGACTGACAATTTGGTAGGCAACCCAAAGAAGAAACCTAGAGAGGTCTAATTTAGGGCAAGGTGTTTTTTTCCGAAAAAAGAAGTGATAAGAATTTGAGAGTTTTGATAAGTGTAGGAAACCATAGGGATGGAGAACATCAGAATATTAGCCAAAATGATTAGATCAACATTTTGGTAGTATACAAGTGATTTAGACTTTTAAATTTTTTTATTATTATTAATATTTTGAAAATCAGATGAGGGCAATTTTGGGTATTCTTATACTTTCTGGTCTGACATCATCAAGGTGAAACCCAAACTATACAGTATGTTCTAAGCGAAATATGTGTAGTTGTCAAAGCATGAGAGAGCTATTTAAAATATTCAGAAGCTAGCTCGGAAAGAGTTATGAAATTATCCTAAATTTTAGAAGTTGTAAACAACACAAAGTAAAGTTTAAAAAGTTTTTTATATGTATTTGTAATTTCCAAAAATTGTAGTAACTGTAATGGGACTAGAATCCAGTTTGAACGTAGTAGAATAGGACTTGGCACAAACGGGTGATGCGAAAGAAAGACAAGCTGGTCACTCTGTTCCTCGAATGAAATTGGAAATAGAGGCAGATTGCCAGATGCCAGGCAAATCCAAATATCAAACTGTGTTGACTTGGTTATCACCTTTTTTTTTTTTTTTTTTTGCATGTTTTTTATTTTAACTTCCGCAGTAACTTATAAATACATCTCATTTGTAAATTGTAAATGATATCTAAAATCCAACAACGGCTATAAAATTTTAACTTCTGCGGTAACTTATAAAACATAGACGAATCATTTGTAAATTGTAAGTTGAAGCTGGCTATAGAAAGAGTTTTATTTTGCAGGTTGGTTTCACCCATAGAGTGCCAGGCGCCATTTGCCGATCGAGTGGAGTAGGACCCAAAAAATGGAGACCAAAGCTGATTGGAAAAACACGGCAACGTCGCCTGAGAGATTCGAACTCTCGCGGGGAAACCCATGTACTTAGCAGGCACACGCCTTAACCACTCGGCCAAAGCGACTTTGTTGCTTTCACCGTAATTCCTCTACGCTTTTTTTAATATAATATAGGATCATAATTGTTCCTAGGCCAATACCAGCCTTGAAAATTCAGTTTATCTATAAATTTCAAAAATATTATGAGTCACATAGGTATGTTTACAGTCTAAAAGAGATTACTCAAAAGAGATAAATATTATACAACCTTATTTTTGTTAATGTCAAATAAAAGGAGTATCCAAACCTAGCTTCCAAATGGATGTCAAGAAAGACTTGGCAATTACTTGCATCATAGTTAAATGCCAATTGCCATTATTTCCAATAAATATTGTACAACCTTATTTCTTAATTAATGTCAATTTGTTGCCAAAATATAACTGTAATTTCCATTCCCTTCTAATAGCACTCAGTTACCTCCTAATGCACACTTCAGACTAAAATCCCATTATATAGCATATCATAAATGCATAAAAGCATATTTACAGAAATGAATTAAATATCTAAATGGTAACCAAAAAAAAAAAAATGCTTACATGTACCAAGACATATTTTGTTATCGAAATACCAGAATTTATTTGCCATATAGAAATTAATACAGCAAGTATATATATTCGACTTTATTTCGTGTATAGGAAATGAATTTATTATTAAGATGGATTATTGTACTAGTGGATATCAATATTTCTTTTCAACTTTTCTTGATTGGCTTGCAAGAAAAATCTAATATGATTTCAAACCCAATAAGTAATAAAACACGAGTAATTAATTTGGGAAAGTATAGAAATGCACGGGGTAATAAACGTGAATTTATGTATTTATACAGTAGTAACTTAAATGCATTTTAAGTCGTACAAATGATTACCCTGGACACTTGTTAGGAAAAAAAAAATCCCATAAAACATATTTTCCATGATCGGACCCGTTTGGATTGCATTTTTCATCATTTTTCATGGAAAAATTACTGTAACGATTTGATGTATGTGAGGGAAAAAGGTAATAGGGAAATGTGTGTATGGAAAACGACGTAATTTTTCGACGGAAAACAGCAATCCAAACAAGGCAGTACCTGTCAAATTAAGGAACTTGAAAATTATACTACGGATTGCAACTAAAATGTAATCGAAATAGACAGTCCCATGTTTTCCAGTAATAACGTTTGTTTGCTATTGCTTCTGCACCAGAGACATTTCTGCATGACCAACCATTCTCTTAAAACCAGGGTTTCCCTCCTTTATTTGTTACATTTCACTACTTTTCCTCCACGAAATTCTCTTTCATTCACAAATTCCTCCTCCCCTCTTATAATATTATTAGTGTCTGCAACCCCAAGAGTTCGAAAAGGGGAAAAAAAAAAAAAAAGGGGGGAAGCATATACTACTAGATAAGTAGATCAAAATTTTTTTGTAGTATAGAAAAAGCTGAAAACTCTCTCTTTCTCTGTCACCTCCGGCTTTCCTTACTTCTTTTCGATCGATGATTACGCCGTTGATGGAGCCCTTTTAAAATGCATCGCTAGATGGCTGAAATCAACGTGCAAACTCATTTCTAAAGAAAAAAAAATCGATCTGGAAACCTTACAAGGAAATAGATCTGTAGAAGTAGGAAATGGAGGTGCAGAGAATACAAGAATTGTTATTGCTGTGCACAAGATTGCAAAGTAATCGTGTTTCCCTTGTGGGTGGGAACCACACCGCTGCCCAGATTTTGCACCCGCTAAGTTGCACTGGTTCTGCCCGTTAACCCTCATCTCTTTTCCTGTTTTTAGATTAACTACAAGCATTCTCTTTTTGTTCGATTAGTATACTGTTTTTTATACCTTGACTTTTTTCTTCACAAGACCTCTCAAAATTTTTTGATTGTATTGCGAGTTTTTCTTTGCTCCTTGCATAGAAAGAAAGAATCCCTTCGGCCGAGACCATTCGATCCCTGGCTAGCTAATACCATGAGGCACATGACCATGGATAATGTGCTTCATGGCACTCAACCCAAACGGCACAATCACAAAGTGAAAAACCTCTACACGGATGCCCTTAAATTCCATGGCGATTTACACTTTGTAGTTGTCAGGCTACCAAGTTCTTGGTTTTGAAAGTCATCACCAGGGCTTTGTTTTTGGCTTTTGTCATCGTTTCACTCCCTTGGCTTAACACCGCAATTGGAGATCTTACGTCGAAGTTGAACAATGGAGCCAGGGTTTCATCTGTTGCTGATCAGATAGCTGTAGATGATCCCAATGACGCCGTAGGGACGCTATCCGTGTTGTTTCATGATTTGGCGAACGAAGGCCTTCTCAAAATGGGCGACCGAGCCCTCATTATCAGCAATGGTGACGATCATGAAGCAGCTATATTCAACACTCAAGCCATCAGCGACTACAACATGGACGTGGTTTCCTGCTCGGACGTGGAGCGACAGAGTTTGATCCCCAATCAGACGTATGATTTAGTGTTCGTCCGTGATTTCCATGCAGCTTCAGAATTGATTGAACGGATTATCAAGAAAGATGGGACGGTAACTGTCCAGCTCAGTGACAATCCTGCGGTTTCATTCTCAAAGCCATCAAATTACAAGATTGTTTACCTGAGGAGATTTAATTCCACCATCATTGCGATGCGAAAATTGATCAAGATTCAGGTGGTGCCTGCGGGCAAACATTCAGCAGCAGCAAGGAGACGATTGCTCGGCTTAACACGGAAGTAAAGAAGAAAGCCCTTAACAATCTCGAAGACGTGTTACTCGAACCGCCAAGAGCCGCGTCAGGGAAATCAAACAGCTATCGAAAGCGAACTAGATTCTTACCAGACTTGATTGGTGACTCCCTCGAGAGCTACTCGCGCAGAGTGTTCATCGACGTCGGTTTGCCTGACAAAAACGACGACTCATCAGGTGATGTTAGCTGGTTTAAAAAGAACTATCCTACTAAGAACACCGAGTTTGAGGTGTACAAGATTGAGACCGTGAATGAAGGACCATCAAGAGAAGAGGTAGCTCAAATCGGGATGTCTGATTGGCTAAGGAAGAATCTGAAAGGGAATGAATATGTTGTGATGAAGGCGGAGGCTGAAGTGGTGGAGGAATTGGTAAGGAGCAAAGCTATAAAGTTAGTGGATGAATTGTTCTTGGAGTGTAAGCATAGAGGTATAAAGAAAAGTGTCAAAAGAAGTAGGAGAGCCTATTGGGAATGCTTGGCTTTGTATGGATCGTTGAGAGATGAGGGTATTGCAGTGCACCAGTGGTGGGGTTGATTAATTAATTACAACAGGCAATTACAAGAAGAAAAAAAAATAGAAAGAGAGAGAGAGAGAGAGAGAGGAGCTAGCATGCATGCACTTTCAGGCAGAGAAGATCACTTCATGGATGAGCATGGCAAAATGATTCGTATTCTCATTGATTTCTTGAATTAGTATCTGTCTGCGTTCATTGTACTACTAGTTTTGGATTGAATTCAATATTTATAGCAGTTTTGGCATATTGTGGTATTATGGGGTGGGGTGGGGTGGAAGGAGAAGACTAGATAGACAGATGGGAGAGTACGTACGTTATTCTTTGGTTATTGTGGAGACACAATATATATATAATATATATATATATATGGTTTAATCATATATCTGTTTCCTTGTGTCTTTCTTTAATGAATCTATAATACCTTTCTTCTTATGTAATTATGGAGACGTTCAATTACAGTTTTTGTTATAATAACATTTGGTTGATAATAAAATGGTGGTAGTGAATCAGTATACCTTTTGAGTTTAACAGATCGACAGCCAAGAAAACCTCATATGGTATCTATCTAGTAATATTGGAAATGCATTTGCGACATGATGAACTTAATTAAACTTCTTGATCTACTTAAGTTTGGGTATACATTCACATGGAAAAGAAAGACCCCATATGAATTTACCTCATTATTTTTTGATTGAAAATGAGTTAATTTCATGATAACACAAGAATTTCAACACCAGCAAGCTGATAGCATTCAAGGTTTTTTTTTTTTTTTTTTTTTTTTTCTAGTACTTGCTGAAGATTTTTATTTTGTAAGATTAATATTTTCAAACTAACTTGAGGTTAAATCCATGAACTTTGGAGTTGTTCTGCAAATTCTTTGAGATGACTCTTTGATTTGCTCTTTTTTTTTTTTTTTTTTTTGGAGAATTGGCGAGTTTTATATAATAAAATAAGAATTTACACTCAAATCATCAACTTTTTTCTCTTATCTTCTTCTACAATTCTAAGAAGATCGGGAGGAAAATTTGACTCAAAAATAACTTTATCGACCCTATTGAGATCACTAGCCATAAAGTCAGCAACTTGATTACGTTGGCAATATACAAAATATATAGTCAGCTCCTTAAAGCATGAGATTAAATCCTTTATATCAGAATATGCAACTAGACTCTTTGATTTGCTTTGTTTTGGTAAAACTAGAAAAGTTGATAGGTATATTCATTGGTTTTAAGAAGAGGACATAGATTTCACACCAAACATGCTTTTTTACAAGATTTCTATCTAAAAATAATAATAACTTAACATGAATAATATAGCCAACAAAAAAAAAAAAAAAGAGAATTTGGCTCATACAAATACAAGTACATGTGGCCAACAATTCTTTTTCTGGTCACTTTTTAAATGTTCTTTGTTCTTCCGAACAATTAATTTAACAACCAATCTTTGTTGTTCCTATGGAGAATTTCTCTTTTCTTTTCCTAGCAATCCAAATACACCCTCTTCCCAAAGAAAATACTTCTTTTAAAAATAAAAATAAAAAGCTATAGGATTATAATGACATTGGTTTGAACTAGCTCTTTTGATAACCCAATATACCAATATTCCTCTTAAACAAAATTCATATGCGAATTAGAAATCAACACATCTTATTAAAATAAAGGATACAATTTTTAAAAAAAATTAAAACAAAGGATATAATTATCTACCGTTTGTGGGAAAAAATTTAAAACAAAGGATACAAATGTGAAAACTATAGAAGTTACTTGGGATTCAATATTTTGACTTGCAGGATTTTCTACTGCATATAAGAAAAATATATGAATAATTCATAATACAAACTCTTTAGCTAGCTAGCCCAAACTGAATTATTTAGAATTTTTTTTTAAATTGAGATGTATGAATACACATAGTTAGTTGCTTGATAACCAGAAATAAGCAATTTATTGATTTCAATCTACAGTAAATGAGCGTAACTAAAGTTAATAAACATGAATTCTTTTTTTTTTTTTTTTTTTTAAGATTTCAATTCTTCCTCATAAAAACATTGAGCAATATGCTGTTATGAAATGTTAAAGACTGAGAATATGAACTGAATAAGTATCCTAATAGTGATATACATTATTCTCCAGATGCAAATAAAATGAGAAAATAATTTGATTGAGATAATTTGAAGCAAAATAATTTATTTCACAAATCCCAATCACCTTTTTATCTCACATACATCACATCACAAAAAATGCTACCGTAATTATCTCAATCTCATTGGGTAATGCTTTTTATCCCTAAATCTCATTGACTAAACTAATCACTCATATTATTCAACAACAGATTCACAAAATATTCAGATGTTTACGAATAAAATAAGATAGTTAATTTACTTGTAATTATGTTATGATACATTCTAACGTCTTCTATATATCTTAGTAAATATTTCATCTTTCCCTTCTCTATCTCTTAAATTCCGTTTCTCCTCTATTAAAAAAATATATAAAAAGAAAACTTTCAAAATTTTTTAAAAAAAAGCTTCCCCTATAGATCTTAGTAAATACTCCATAATAATGATCGTTATATTCTTAAATTAAGTAAATAGATTAAAAAAGGAAACAAATCTATATATATCAGTAAATGCTCAGTTATTATGATGTTATTTTCTTAAATTAAGTAAGTAGCTACCTTATTTTCTAACCAAAAAAAAAAAAAAAAAGGCACGTTGTATTTACATATTTAACCTTTCTGATAAAATTTCAAAAGAACAAAATATTAACCGGGAAACTTGAAACCGCACAAGACTCTCGGGTGGTTGCATTAAATTTAGAACTAAGGCGGGCCTATATTTATGAGCACGAACTCGCATGCTGCCCAGCTGAGGCCCAAAAGCCCTAACTCCTTGACTCTAACGCCACGCCACGCCACCACCACCAACAGTGTCTCCACCACCTCCTCCTCCGTTCGGACTCCGCCCCCTTTTTCCACACACTCTGTCTTCGCCTCTTCCTCCGGCATCATCACTCTGCCGCTCCTCGAGAGGAATCCACGGCAGCTTGAGGTTTCTTCCGCGCAATTGGAATCTACCTTCCTCTAAAACTGACTAATTATTCCTCTTGCCTAGTAAGTTTTGCTTGTGGCAGTGGTTAATAGCACTTCTACAATTTCTTAAGATATCTTTTTGTGATAGATTAGCTATGTGAATGCATTTATACAGGTTTTTTCCCTAGGTTTTAGTGTTTTTCCTTTTCTGGCAATTTTAGAAGGAAATTTGGGAATTAAATGGAAATTGTTGGTTGTAGTTGACTAGATTTTCTTGAAGACAATGATTCGTCTTGAATTTTTTGATTTGTTGGTATAATCATGGATGATTAATTGAAAATACTTTCCCCTAATCTCTTTTGCCTTTTATTTTATTTTAATTTTTTTTGGCAATATAGTTTAATATTGTACTCTTTGCTCCTAAAATCAAAACTGATCACCATTCTAGGTGCATGCTTAAGATGATTATTGGCAGCTTCCGTAAGAGTTTTAAGAGACTTCCTGAGCTGAAATTTTTGTTGGTTAAGTTCTGGAAACTAAAAGGATAGCTGCTGTACTGAAACATTGTAAGGTTGTCTGGATGTAAAATTTGTTTTTTGGTTTCTTATGGTTGGTTGGATGGTTGGTGGTCCAAACGTGCATTACTTACTTGGAGTCTTCTAGGGCTTGAGGTGGAGATTTGACTTTGAATAGCATTTAGAAGGTCAAATTGAATTTGCTTTCTGTATGATATGTAAGGAAAAGGTGCATAAAAGAGCTAGATGAATATAAAGCTAATTCAGCAGGAAGAAGAAAGGTAGAGAGAGAGAGAGAGAAGGTTAAAAAAAAGTAATGATGTAATGAAAAAGACGCCTTTTTTTTTGTTCTGTCAGGCTACTCGGTTTGGAGTGGGGTTTGAGGAGTAATTCTTAAAACGAATATACTGAAAAGAGATGACGAATGTTTTTATGTTAGCAGTAATAGCATGATAAGGAGAACGAAGTATAAGATGATGGTGGAATAGAAAAGATAAAATAAGATAATGCAGTGGGTGCAGGAAATCTTTGTTTGTTTCTCTTAAGGAAAAAATAAAAAGGATACCCAACCTAAAACAATGATGAACAAGGAGGAGGCAGAAATTTTGACGCTAAAAGATCATAGAAACTAAAAAGTAAGAAAGAACATTAGACACATCTCATTTGCTTTTGCTAATTGGTCCTTTATTCTGCAAGCATGCGCTTTCTTTAGTTCTTGGCTGTAAGAAGAAGTGCAGCACATGCGTTTGTTAGGGTTCGTGGCTAACTGTGACTCTTTCTGTAGTTTTCTTTAGTTTATGTGCATAACTTTTTATTGCATGGTGATACTTTTTTTTTTCTGAATTTTGAAATGAAATGGCCATGGAAATCTGGACTTCAGTGCTTTCTTATCTTCCATACCTTTGTTTACTCATGTATGACGTGCAAATAATCCTTCATTTCCTTTGACTAATAATTGTGGAGTATTTAATCAAAGGTTTTACTTGGCCAATGAATTTTAATAGAATTACTGTCTAATAACTTGTAGCAGGTAAACGGTTTTACAAAACCGTCTGTCCTGCTGCTGCTGTGCAGCTAGGCATTTCTTTTAGATTATAAGTGAGAGGTGGGATCCCCCATTTCTATAACAGACTTTGCACGATTTACAATTTGTTTGCTTTGCAAGAGCTAGCATGGAAAATCAATTCAATGGGCTAATTAGTATTTTTTGATTGTTTGGAAGGATCAGAAATTGTTGTTCTTTTATATATTGTTTAACTACCTTTGACTACTTTGAAGTAGATTAATTTCTCTTCTTTGTCTTTGGAATCTTTTTTTTTCCCAAACATCCAATGATAATTTTCTTGAGGTACTTCATGTGGGTTTTATGTAACAATTGGTAAATTCTTAAAGATTTCAGACCCTCTTGATAAATATTTCTTCTCCCCCTAGTGAAATTTATGCAGTTATCTTACATTTGTTTGCCTACCAGATTTTTA